CCCGCCACGCTCGTCGCCGGCCACGGGGTCACCACTCCCAACGGCTCACAATAGAGAGAGAGAGAGGAGGGGGGAAGGGAAGAGGGGAAAGAGAGGGGTGAGAGAGTATGGTAGGTGGGTCCCACCATGTCACGCCCCGAACCAGTTCCGGCCGGAACTAGCCCGTGACGCTCCAAATTAACCTGTTAATCGATACCAGTCCCAGGAAACAGTGCTGGTATCACAGGGAGACAGAATATCATAGCAACAGAGGTCTCTTTATTATAGAGTAGGAGTACAGTCATGTTGGGCTGCGGACAGATCCTGAGCTCACAACTGCATTACAAAAGCGAAACGGAAGCCAGGACTTGGACCAATCATCACAGGCGCGACTTGGGAACTAGGCCGAAACCCTAAAACTCATCGTAGCCGGCTTGCTCCTGGAAGAACTCCTCATCAGCAGGATCTGCTTCATCTTCTTCAGCAACTGGGGGGGGGATATTTATATAGAGCAAGGGTGAGTACGGGAGTACTCAGCAAGCCAGGGGAAAATAAGTGTTTAATGCAGGCTTCAAGGAATGGCTGTTGTTTTTGCAATTGATTTTATTTGAACTCTTTTCTAAAAGCAACTAAGTGAGTGCTTCTCAAACGACACGGATGAGGCAGTGCGTCTCGTCCGGTCGGAGTATGTGCAATGTATCAGTCTTTAGATTTGAACAAGATTGGCACCCGGCCAAAGGCCTTTTAAACGGCCACCCGGGCCAACACCTTTTCAAACGGCCACCCGGGCCAACAACTTTTTAAACGGCCACCCGGGCCTAGCTGATCCCGTCAGCTGCGGATTCTTTTCAAACATCGAACCCGATTTCACAACAGCAATTTCACAAGCAGTAGTCAAACAAAACTACGCTAGGAATCACCTCACATCCGCCCATGACCGTGGGCACGGCTGTTCGAACAGTTTGTTAACCTCTGCAGAGGGGGTACACTTTACCCACACGTCATTACTAACCCGGGTCACCCAGCCCGTGGGGATCAGCCACGTCGGGAGACCTCCAAGCTTTCATGACAAGGCATTTCGAAAGCCGATGCAGGTTTGCCATATGCCGACGAGAGGGGTCCCAGACCAACAACAGGTTAGGTCCCAGACCATACTGTGCCAGGAAGCCCAGGGGTCCTCCCCGACACCACCCCGGCGAATCCACATGTCTCTCGGCATCAAGGCTCCCCTGATAAGCTAGTTACTCAGCCAGGGGTGTCCCATTCCACCCATGTGGTCGTACTTGTCTTATGTTTGGATGAAATTCCAAGGAATCGGTCCTTAAGTGCGAGAGCGGGAAACCGTACACCCGGTACGTTCCCCGGTCCGCGGTTTTGGAAATTCATTTAGTTCGCAAGCACCGACCCAAGTGTCGGGTTTTCCAAGTCTTTTGTAAAACTCCAGTTTTACCCAAGTTGTTACTCAGATTTTAAGTTTGAAGGCGACCGTCGATACTCGCACAGAGTGCACGAGTATCGAGGCGCAACTGGGTGGTTACAAGGGGACATGGCATAGCAATTAACAATGGAAGGATCAAATGCGACAAATTAGGTAGGTCTGCCAATCTGCCTTGCAGACGGGACAACAGATTAAGTGTGATCCTATCAATGCATAATATTTTGCAAGCAATATAATTAAATTTCAAATATAGGCTCAAGATGTTCAAAGGTGGCTTGCCTTGCTCGAGATCTGGAGCTTGATCCTCGAAATCCTCGCACTGCGGGTCTTCGGGCTCCGAAACTACACGCGAAACGGGACAACTCAACAAACGGCGAGAATAAAGCCCTATTAATGACCCCTAAGCGTGCCATTAGATAGATCTCGAGATTTGGGAAATTTTGGAAGTTGAACGGAGTCAAACGGAGTTATGGTTGGAAAGATATTGAATTTCTAAGATTATTGGATTTTTGGTCTAAAGGAAAAAGGATTTAATTAAATCCTTTTTGGAAAAAGGAAAAGGAAATGATGAAGGGAGGGAATCTAGACTTTCCTCGGGCGGCTAGGGCGCGGCCCAAAGGTATTCGGCTCGGTCCGGCCGAGCTAAACGGGCCGGACGGCCCAAAGCGGCCCATTTACGCGCGCGCGCGGGAGAGGAGAGAGAGAGAGAGAGCCGGTGGACCGGGCTCACCTCGCGCGGCCCCGGGTGGGACCCGCTTGTCAGCGGCTCGGCCCACCGTGCGGAGGGAGCACGCGGCGCACGCGCGCGGGCGAAAGGGGGAAAGCGGTGCGCGCGCGGTTTACGGAGGACTCGGGTGCGGCGGGCCCACGCGCAGCCTCACGGCTTGCGGTGGAATGCGCGCACGGGGAGGGATCGGCCGGGGTCGGCCCGTCCCGAGCTCAGCCGAGCTGGCGCCGACGTGGCGCCTACGTGGCGGCCACGTGGGCTGGCAGGAGGTAGACGACGACCGGCCGCAAATGAACGGCGGGCGACGGCGGCGAGCGGTAGAGCGGGCCACGGCGATACCGGCGAAGGCGAGCACGCCGGGCGGTAGTACGGGACGAGAGGAGACGAGCCAACGGCTCGGATTCGCCGGAGGTTGCTCGGCGGCGGCGGATTGCGGCGGCGGCAACCGGCGGCGGGAGAAGAGGGAAACGGCGACGAGGCCACGAGAGGTCGATCTCCGGCGGTGAGAGCATCTACAAGGCCACGGGAACTCGATGCTAGGGTTGGATTGGACGGAGCTATGCCGAGCTAGGCTGGCGACGTGCGGCTACTTCGGAGCTCGGGCGGCGACGGCAGCGAGCACATGGCGAGCAACGGCATCGGTCGGGGCGGCGCCGGCCAACTACGGGAGGTCTACTCGAGCTAAAACCGAAGTCTAAGGGGGGGGAGACGGAGCGAGGAGGGAGAACGAAGCGAAACATCACCGCGGGAAGGAGAGGCGCTGTGACGAGAGGCCGACGGCGCGGGAGTGATCTCTCCGGCCTCGGGCCGGGGAAGAGGAAGAAGAGGCGCGGCCGGAGTCCTCTTCGGCGTCCTCGCTCGTGCCGGCTCCTCCGACACGCGCGGCGACGATTGGAGACGGCGAAAATAGAGACGGCAGTGGAGGAGGCGAAAATGGGGAGGAAAGGAGAAGGGGAGGCCGGGGGTTTAAGGAGGCGGCAATGTCGGTTTGGGGAACCGACTTGCGCGGTCAAGAGCGCGAGCTGGCGCTCGGCTAGCGGCCAAAGCGGTGGCAGACGGGATGACGCCGGCGGGAGAGGAAAAAGGAGGAAGGGAAAAAGGAGGAGGAGAAAGGAATTCTCTCCTTTGCCGATTCGGGAAAAGGAGAGTGGGCGCGGGGCGACGACGCGGCAGAGGGAGGTGAGGCGCGGCCTCCGGGCCTTGGCGGCTAGCGCGCGGAGTGGCGGGGGCCGGCGATGACGACGGCGGGCGGTTTGGAGCGGAGCGGCGACAGCGGCGACTGGCGCGGGCAGAGCTGACGGCGGCGGCGACCGGGCGGTCGGCCACTCGGCTTGCGCGGGCGCGAGGCAACGGGCGACGGCGCGCGGGGGGGTGGGGGGAAAAGGCGGGGCGCGGGCGGCTCACGCGCGCACGCGCGCGGCGCGCGGGCAAAGCGGCGGGATCGGGAGAGAGCGAGGGAGCGCGAGGGAGAGAGCGCCCGGGGAGGGAGAGAGAGAGAGAGAGGGAAATGGGCCGGGGGGGAGAGATGGGCCGGGGGGGCAAGGTAGACTTTGCGGAGGAATTGATTCGGAAGATTTGGATTCGGAATTTGAACTCGACGATAGATCGGGGATTGAGATCTTGAGATGGCACGGACACTAGACAACAATCAAAGGAACAAAATTTCGCAATTAGGGTTTTTGAGAGATAATTTTCCCGCTAGGCGCCACGACGGAACGGGCGCTACACACCATTTTTTAAATAAAAAAATACTGACTGGATTGCCATGTGTACGTCCCATAGGATAAAACCGCTTCGGATTGTGTCGAGGGAGGTTATTCATCCAGTATAGATAGTTCAGGGTTTAAAACGTCCGATTTTGTGGTTCAAGGGATAATTCGTACCGTCAGTGATAGTAGTGATAGTCAGGGGATTATTTGTACTTTTTCCTTAGTACTATCGTTTGGCAGTACGCCAGTACCTTATCAGTCCAACAAATTAAATGTGCTCCGTCTTTAACGTTGGGATGCCACTTCCCTGTTCCTAGATTACGTTCCGATCTTTATCCCATAATAACAAAAGGCTATTCCCCATAAAGCTCAGATTAGTGGTTATGCCTCGCCTCCTAATGCAAGTTTTATAGTGGAGATGATAGTTAACCTTAATTTAGTCCATATCATCAACTTATTAATTAAGAGGCAATACATAGAACAAATTACCTCTAGCACACTTGTCCCAATACATCGTATTAAGGTCATCTTTGTTTAGGTTAATAAGCCAACTTATAAGTCGAAAAGTCTAAGCTTAAACAAACTTTTCATTTGGCTTTTTTGAAGTCATAAGCCATTCTAACACCATTAAGTCAAAAGCTAGGTTGGAGAAGCTTTTTTTATCTTATGTGAGGTCGATGTATGACTCCACCACTAAACTTAGGACATTAAATCCACTGCTTACAAAATCATAAGCCAATAAACTGATTTAAAAGTCTAATCCTAAACAAAGAGGGCCTAATTTTACTTTATTTGTTTCCTATCAATTCATTGGTCTCTTGTTCTTATCTATCTTAGAGTTTGTGTAGAGGTAGCCCTTGCATGAGAGGTGGCTTCTTCTCTCTTCTTTCATATCTCTCATCCACCTTATCGTATGAGCTTACATGGCACCTAGAGACAAGTGCGTAGAGGCTTGTAGTACTTGCCTTAATAAACTACTCGTATTGTATATATTACTATGCTAGTGATAACTGCTACAAATACATCATTGAGTATGCAACTTATACTGATTAAAAAGAACTTTACCCCGGCTAACTAAAATATAGGAGAACCCTCTATACAACATATATAAACAAATTTACATATACTATATAACACGATGTATAAATCAATTATCACCAAAGTCAACCCATGTACTGTAATCTGCCCTTTCTGTCCCCCAATATTCTTTTGTTGCTGCTCCGTATGCTAATTCATAAGACCAAATGTTTGAACCACATGTTTCAAGGTACGTATCTGCGCAGAACGGTAACTTTGGTACGAATGCCAATTGGCCATCGCGAGCAACAAGATCAACGTGGACGGTCTCAGGCCACTTATAGAATCTTGGAAGGAATATCATATTCTGCATCCACTTAAATTTGGACCTCTTCATCATCGTCGTCAGCGATCCAGTGAATATTGTTTGGCCTTGCAAGCTCTCTACCTCCTCCCACTCCATCGTTTGATCATTAAGCTTGACAACATGGACAACCTTCCCACGGCGTCCTATTAGTACAACCATCAACTCACCTTTATTGGACTCGACCAAGTAGCTGTCTTCACATTTGAATCCGAAGCCGTTGGGCTTGTTAAGAATCTCAAACCCTTCATCAGGCCTGCAAGGATTATACACCACCAATTTCCCGTCTTGAGCAAGAAGGTATAGCAAACCGTTATGGAGGACAGGGTTGGTGACTGGTGATGCCCGAAGCCGTGGACAGTAGAGATGATTCTCCGTCGACTTCCAGCCCTCCCACTCATCACTGGTGTGTCGAATGGAGCTAGCAACCTTGATGGTGATAGTTGCCTTGACACCAAATAGCCTCTCATCATCACGGTCGGAGACGACAAAATTAAACAACATATAAGGTTCTTGCGGCAATACTTCAACGAGGGCGCCGGTGACAAGGTCGATATCATACACCAAGGCTTTGTCCGCGCACATCTTGAGGTGCCGTCCCGTGGAGCAGCAAATCTTCGCGCCAGGCACCTTGAGAGTGTCATCGACCTCGAAATTCTTATCGTAGTAGGGGCTATAGTATCGGATGTTGGCGGTGCCAACCTCGGCGGTGTTGAGCAGGAGCGGAGTGATCCACGCCGGGTAAAAGGGACAGAGCGACGCGGCAGAGCGCCAGTGCCGGCACACCAACGCGACGCTCGGGTGGCTCGACCACCGCAGACTCCCCAGAATCAGGACGAGCACGTCCGTCGGGAGAGACGACCAGCCCCGAGCCTGTGACGTCGATGCCATCTCGATCGCTTGCTCGATCTCGCCGGTTTAAACCGTACCCAGTGCCGGCCTGATCGGGAGAGACGACGTGAGCGCGGTGTGTATCTTCGTCTGCCTATGGCGTTAATTTTCTTCCACTTATGACTTGCTAATATGTACGTAGGGCGCAGTGGAGCGAAAATACCAATCGGTTTACATGTGGGAGTTGCAATGCGATCCGAGTTGTCCGGGGAAAAACAAACCTACACGTAAACGTACATACGTGTGCCGCTGGCCGGCACGGTATAGCTCTGCTGCACGTACGGTCGGCAATTTGGAACGGTGATTTTCCTTAGAAAGGGATCGGATTTTTTTTCTACTAGAAAAAAATGCCCGTGCGTTGCAACGGGTGAAGGCTATTTTAATTATATTATTGTTATGCTAGAAAAATGCACATGCTTCGTTATGGGTAAAGCAACAGTTAAATGCTATAAAGTCTAGAGTTAACATGTATATATATATAATAATGTTTCAAGATAGATAAATTATTCATTAGGCTAATGATAATCACGCCGGATAAAAACACGCTCTCTCTCTCTCAACCCTTGTGTGACAAACTGTGATATCATTGCACTGGGTAATGGTGAGGTGAATGAAATTTGACCTCAATGATTTATTGAAGCACCTTTATAGTTATCACAAATGCATATTTGTGTTTGGATAATTAATCCGCTCTACACGTGCAGGATGTGAATGATGTCCCTAACACATGGTCCCGATGATTGTAGCATTGGAGAAACGGACGTTCGAGCAACGCACCTTTACGTATAAGTAAATAATGAATTTTTTTGGGAGTTCATTAATTATTTTAAACTACATTTTTTATGACACTTTTATAATCTTTTTTCATAATTGATGATTGCTATAACATTGCATTGATTATAATCACAATGCAACAGTACAGTGCTATGCTCTAACCGACAAAACCTGAACAGTGCCAGCCGTACCATGCCGTTCCTTTTTCTTTTGTAGAAAACCTCTTAGCACATAATTAATTGAGTTTTATTATTAAAAAAAATTAAGAAAAAATATCTAGTATTTTATATCAACTTGTATATAGAAAGTTTTAAAAACACGCTAACAAAAATCGAGATAGAAGGAACGGAGCCATGGTGTGAAGTTTCACGCCATGCACATATTCAATTTTCATGTATTTTTAAAAAATACCGGTTGGTTCACGTGTTTATACTGATTTTTTTATATAATATAATAATCTTTATTTTTCGAATTAAAAACTGGTGCACTATAAGATTTCAGAATCACTAAAAGTCTGTTAAAGAAAGAGGTGCAGAACTTTTGATTTTTCAGCCATCGGATGTGCATGATCCGTGCTAGTGGTTGAGAGAAAAAAAAATACGCGCAAATATGATTTGGGACGAGGGAGGGAAAGTAGACTTATTCTAGGGCCTAGGTCAACATATATTTATATTGATTTTTGTGAATATAATTTAATTGTTTTTAATTTTCGAATTAAAAACTGATAAGATAAAATTTCATAATCAATAAAAATCTGTTGAAAAAAGAGAAATAAAATCGAAGGCAAATATAATTTGATGTGGGGGAGGCAAAGTAGACTTATTTTAAGAGAGGCCTATACAGTGCAAGTAATAATACACATGTAAGAGATATTACGGTATATAGATTGAAACCGAGAGGAGCGGTGGCTGGCCTGTGCTGCTGTGCTGCCTGTCTATTTTATAAGAAGGCTCGTGTTTTGCGCTGTGAATTAGATTCCAACTCGACTGAATAATCGAATCAGATTCGAACTCGCCGTAACCGCGTGGGGTTCGCGTACGCGCGCTGCCACAAAACACCATAACACCAGTCCGACCGCGCTCCTTATTCCGACCTGATGCTCAGCTCTCTACCGATATTGTACTACATCTCTTCTCTAGTATCTCTACTACTCCCTCCGTATTAGAAACATAACAATCGACGCCATCAGATCAGATAACCAACATTTTTTTTTTGAACCAAAAGTTTGCATAGACATCCTGTCACACCCCAATCCAGCACTACCATACAACGGCACCTAACGGGACCGTGTCGTAAAAAAAACGGTGTAAACCGCTTCCTACGAAACCGCGATATCGGTAGCAGTCCCAGTACATAGTGCTGGTACCGACGGTGACAATAATGAACCATTGCAATCCTTAAATTAAATAAATGACTTATCTACCTTAACTTAAGTTGCAACCCTAGTAAAAAAAAACGGACCAGCCCAACGGTTGAACCGGAAAAAATCGGAACCAGCCCCTCAGCCGGTTCGGTTTGCTGTAAGGACCGGATATGCCATCGAACCAGTCACAACCGGATGAACCGGGCGGTTTTTGGTGAAAACCGGCGAACAGGACGCATATGAACAAGCGGTTCTGGCGAGCACGTGGACCAGGCTACAAAGGCCCACTAGGCTTATAATTGAGAATTGTCACCACCCCTACATTCACCTCAAACCTACTGCGGGAGACGGAGCAATTACCGGGAATTAATTACCTAGAGCTAGCTAAACACTAAAGCAATCAATATATTTTACTGGATTACAGGGAACAAGATCCCGCACGCTAATTAGGAACTAACCAAGAGTTAATTCTCACCGAGCAAATCTTAATTACTCAGAATGATAATTATATTAAAGATGAGTAATTAACAAAGTAAAATAAATAAGAAGATGATTACCGACAACTCCAGAATTCCTCCGACTTCTTCTACTATACTCTCTCCCTAATTCTAGTATACAAAAAAGTACAATAAAACCTCTTATAATTCAGCTCAAGCTTGGAGTGTGTGGGTGAAGTGAGAATGGGAGCTCAATTTATAGGCAGGTAATGGTGGTTATAACTATGTGAATTGTAGGAATTGCCCTACAACCACCATCAGGAGACCATCTAGAACGTCCATTACAAAACCTGGATTCAACGGTGATCACCAGGGTTCAGCCGAACCTGGGCTGGGCCCCCAGATTTGGTCTGGGCCTCCTCGCTGCTCTGCCTTATCCATTTATTCGGTAGTTGGGCCCATGTTCTGATGTTTTGATGGAGTTTAGGAGCCCAGCTCTTGTATGGATAGAATTCTTCTTCACTTAAGTCTAAATTTCCTCCCAACTTTGGTGGTTTATCACCTGCATCCAAATATACACGAAAAATGTTAGAATTAAACCCTACCACTATGTTTGATGTATTATTAACTATGTTTTATGCAGGTATTGGCAGCATAGAATTGTCATTTAATAGCTGCCAACACTGGTATTTTGCAATCAGTTTTGTTTTCGAGTTTTCAACAATCTAAGTGTGTGATTTCCACGACCAGAGTGAGACGAGTCTTAGCTCGGTCGGGGGTGAGAAGTTACAAATTGATTTGCATGTTTTGCACAACTCCCTGAGTTGACCTCAAAGTTGGTTTTCCCAACCAAACGAATTTCCCAATCTTTCAGAGTTTGGTTGTCTCCAAACAACCAGGTACTTCTTGGGACTGGGCAACAACCAGTTACTTCTAGGGACTCCCTGTCCCACTGTCTCCTTGATAGCCACTTGCTTTTCCAAACATCAGGTTTCCCAAACCACAACACCTTTTCACAAAGCAGGGTAACACAAAATCTACGCTAAGGAATCAGTCCTTAAAAGTGACCGCACAAGCATCACGCACAGGAATGGACTTGTGTCGCGAGTTTTGTTTTTAAAACTCACATTCTTTCACAAGGCACCGACCTAGGCGTCGGGTTTTCCAAAGCTTTTATAAACCAAGTTTTACCCAAGATGTTTCTCATATTTTAAATTTGCAAGCGACCGTCGATACTCGCACAACGTGCACGAATATCGAGGCGCAACAAGGTGGTTACAAGGGAACATGATATAACATTTAACAATGGAAGGATCAAATGCAACAAGTTAGGTAGGTCCGCCAGTCTGCCTTGCAGACGAGGCAAACAGTTCCAGTGTGTCACGCCCAGAAATTCACGAACTAGAATTTCTAAGCTGAATGTGCATTAAACCCCCTGTCCAGGACCAGCCAGGGTACACAAACGACAATTGTTGACATACAGATCCACGTCTTACAAAAATATAAAAGATTACAAATGCAGCGGAAAAGATAAAAGCGAGATAAGCCTGAAGACTTGACTCCTGCAGCGGGCGATTCCATTCCACAGACAACCCTTGACGGCAGCGACGAAACCAACCTCTTCGAGACATCACCAACTGAGAAGAATTTCAACTCTGGTGTGGGGGAAAAGAGAGCAAGACTGAGTACTACCCACTGTACTCAGCAAGTCATACCGGAAGAGGAGGTATGATGCAAGATATATCCAAGGGAGGCTAAAGATTCTTTTGCAAAAAGCCGGCATTTCAAAGCAGTAGTTGAAAACAGTAAAACAATTTCAGTAATTAATCAATATTGACCAATCACTGCTCAACGCTACACCACGTTGAGACAGGCCCAAACCACCACCTGAACTAACCAGTTCCAAAGGCTAACTAGGGGTGAGACTAATCACGGTGAATCTGGTCGACCGCCCATAACCGCGGGCACGGCTATTCAAATAGTTTTACTCTGATCAGAGGTGTACAACTGTACCCACAAGACACAGCCCCACGACACGTTCCCGTGCGCCGACATGCCACCACGACATACCGGAAAGAGGCCGTGACAGGACTCTTCGCATAACCCCCTCTAACCGATCGCACCACACCTTAGGGTTCGCCCCCGTCCCCAGCAGGCAACGGGCAGCCCCCCTTTCGTGCCGTGGTGAATCCGGAAGCCGATCAACCGGACACCTCGGCCGACCCATGTAACGCCCCGATTTTCGTTCGGGATTAAAATTTATTTAATAATACATTTTCTAGAAATTAAATAAAAGTTAAAGCAATTTAATCAAGTGAAATTATGGAGGAAATTAAAATTTCCTTTAAAAATCATTGGCTGGAAATATTTTGTAATATTCTTTGTGCCCTAATGTACTCTCCGGAATTTTCCGTGAATTTTCGGAG